TTGGGGGTGATCAGAGAGGGATGCGAGGCAGGGGATGCCGAGTGGGCTTTTTGGGGCGAGATTTGGGGTCTCCAGGGGAATTTGGGGAGCTCAAAAGGGGATGTGGGGACAGGGGATGCTAAGGGCGCTTTTGGGGGGCATTTGAGGGGACTCAGAGAAGGATGTGAGGCTGTGGATGGAACCTTTGGGTTTTCTAGGATTTTTATGGAACTGGGGGCGACTTTAACGGGGCTGATCCGGGAGGATCTATGGGGTTGTAATGGGGCTGAAATCTTTAGGTTCTTTAGGATTTTTATGACTCTCGGGGTAGTTTTGACTGGGCTGACCTGGGGGAGTCTGTGGGGTTTTTATGGGGCTGAGGCCGCTCTGAATGAGGGATCCCGGAGGGTCTCTGGGGCTGAGCTTGGGCTCAATCCCGGGGTTCATCCTGGTTTATCTGGGGTTAATCCTGAGTTCCTTGGGGTTTATCCTGGGGTTGATCCTAGGGTTTATCCTGGGCTCAGTCTTGGGCTCTCTGGGGCTGATCATGGGGTTCGTCCTGGGGTTCTCTGGGGTTGATCCTGAGTTCCCTGGGCTCAATCCTGGGGTTAATCCTGGGCTTTCAGGGGTTCATCCTGGGGCTGATCCTGGGCTCAGTGCCTGTTTCAATCCTAATCTCTTTGGGTTCAATCCTGGGCTTAATCCTGGGCTCTCAGGGGTTGATCCTGGGCTCAATCCTGACCTCTCTGGGCTCGATCCTAGGGTCCATCCTGGGGTTAATGCTGGGGCTAATCCTGTCCTCTGTGTGGGTAATCCTGGGCTCTCAGGGCTTTATCCTGGGCTCAGTTCTAGGGTTCATCCTGGGGCTGATCCTGGGCTCTGTGGGGTTGGGGCTTAGCTCAATCCTGAGCTCGATTTTGGTCTCTCTGGGATCGATCCTGGGGCTCCTTGGAGCTCATCCTGGGGTTCATCCTGGGCTCAATCTTGGGGTTCATCCTGGGGCTGATCCTGGGTTCAATCCTGATCTGCCTGTGTTTGATCCTGTGGTAAATCCTGGAGCTGATCCTGCTCTCCCTGGGCTCAATCCTGGGCTCCCTGGGGCTGATCCTGGGGTTCATCCTGGGCTCAATCTTGGGGTTCATCCTGGGGCCGATCCTGGACTCTCTGGGGTTGATCCTGAGCTCAATCCTGGGTTTGATCCTGGGGCTGATCCTGCTCTCCCTGGGCTCAATCCTGGGCTCAATCTTGGGGTTCATCCTGGGGCCGATCCTGGACTCTCTGGGGTTCATCCTGGGCTCAATCCTGTGGTCAATCCTGGAGCTGATCCTGCTCTCCCTGGGGTTGATCCTGAGCTCAATCCTGGGTTTGATCCTGGAGCTGATCCTGGACTCTCTGGGGTTGATCCTGGAGCTGATCCTGCTCTCCCTGGGCTCAATCCTGAGCTCAGTCCTGGGTTCAATCCTGGGGCTGATCCTGCTCTCAATCCTGGGCTCAATCCTGATCTCCCTATGTTTGATCCTGTGGTCAATCCTGGAGCTGATCCTGCTCTCCCTGGGCTCAATCCCGGGCTCTCTGGCACTGATCTGGGCTCAATCCCGCTCTCCCCGTGGTTAATCCCGTGGTTAATCCTGCTCTCCCCATGGTTAATCCCATGGTTAATCCTGTGGTTAATCCCGTGGTTAATCCTGCTCTCCCTGTGGTTAATCCCGTGGTTAAATCCTGCTCTCCCCGTGGTTAATCCCGTGGTTAATCCCGTGGTTAATCC